CGAATAGGACCGATAATACTATTGGGACCGGTCTTATTAGGACCGAGACCGGACCGGACCGGACCGATCCAACCCTAATTAATCGAAGTATTGGAATAAAATAAAATATACTTATTAACTAATTTTATTTATTTTCAAATTAGTTCTGAATACATTTATTTATGAGATCATTTTTATTATCTATTATAATTTAAACTAATATCTGTTATAGATATTATGCAGAGATAAATTAAAATTTTATGCCATGAAAATGGGAACCCCTTTTTTTTGTTTGTTTTTATTTGATCATTCGTGCTCGCATATTTGATTTTTTATTAAGAAACCTTAATGTATTTCATTTTTCTGATTATATAATTATTCTATCTAAAATACTATCTGCTCAACATGATTTTCGTGTGATGTACAGCAGTGATGGTAAATGACCGAGTCATTTACTCAAATGACTAATGACCTAGAATGACCTTAAAATGACCGGTCATTATGGTCATTAAAATTTTAGGTCATTCGCAAATGACTCATGACCAAATGACTGCGGTCATTTTAAAATGACCGCAGTCATTTGGGTCATTTTGAGAAGCTTGTCAACGAAGTGACAGGTGCCATGTCACGTTCAATTTCAGAATTTGTCATTTATGAGCTTTTGCGTATGGTCTTATTAGTATCGTGATTTTCGAAATATGTGATTCCTTTACCCTAATAGTTATAGTAACTCATAGCTCTGAGTATGTAATCAGTGACTAACGTATTTAAGGGCCTGTTATCTTTTTTTTTCACTATCGTTCGACTTGTAGTGAAGGCTGGCTCTAATGTCCCTCCTGCCCGTCTCTTAGTGACTCGTAAATTAAGGGCAATATATATTTACACTTGTTTAGGGAGCTATTGGTTGGCGCTGTTAGGCTCTGTGACTGCTGCTGGTAGCACAAGGATCTCACATTTGACAATTAGGCTTCTGCTGTCATAGGAAATGCAAAAAACTTTTAGTTGCATTCACGTCGCTAGATAACTAACTAACTATATAACTGATTTTTCTTTATAGCTATGTGATTTACTACGCTTTGGCTACAGTAAGTGGTCATAGAGATGTAATAGGTTATAATATGTATACAGTTTGTTTGGGATAAAATATTCCTTTAGAATTATAAACATTTTAACATATTTAATATAAAGCCTGTAAAGGATAACGAACGGAATTTCCATATGTTCTTCGTGTAAATAAAGTCATCTGATCGAGCAATAATAATGATCATTGCACATAACTAATCTTTATGTTAGCGATTAAATGCATTTATATATTGTGATAACTTGTTCATGAATTCATATTAACTGCAACTTAAGTTTTTTATTTTAACCCTACAAGATTTCGATTTAACATAATGCTATTAGATTAGATGAAACCTATTGAATACATAAAAACATTACTTAAAAATTTTTACTTGGCATCACTCACATATAATAGTCTCTATTGCAAAACCACGGGATGGTCTTTGTTTACAATTTCTGTTTCTGTTTGCGCGATGATGTCACGCAGCCATTTAGTTTTTTTTAAATAGTTGATTTTGATTGGTTAAAAGGAATTAGACTATCAATTAACTGACATTCCGAGTCATTTAAGGCTTCCTAATGACTAGTCACTATTCATTTGGGTCACGAGGATCATTTCAGGTCACTGATGTACAGTATTAAAAAAATTTGAGAACAGTAATATAAAACTCGTTATACCTTACAAAGAATATATACTGTATTTGCACTAAATTTTTTTATACTATGTATGAATATCTATTAATTTATCTTAAGACCAACCATACCGACTCATTTTTCACTTCCTCGTATGGTTCTATAATTCTAAATAATTAAAATAGTGTTGGCGTTTGTCTAATATAGGATTTGGGCAAGTGTCGGTACTATTATTACAATTTATCTCTCCGAAGTTTTAAATTAATACCCCGAGATAGTCAGTTAGTGAACAGCCTAATCATTTAACGTTAAGATAATCTTGGCCCATGATCAAATTTTTGTAGATCGCTATGCTTTTTCCAGATAATAACATACTCTATGTAGAGATTGTACCCATCAAGAAAAATCTCTATTAAATTATCCGGTTATCCGGGTAATTTATTATAGCCATATAATAAAATGTCTACCCGGGTACAATCTCTACTCTTATGAAGAATTGACAATTCGGTACATTTGTGGAATTTGACTTATAAATTTTTAAGATCCATTTTTACTATCTGTTACCGTTATGTAATACTAAAATATAGTATCGGGAATCTAAAAATGAGTAATACTAAAGAATACCAATAGAACCTCGTTTTCTCTTGGCATTACACATTTTTAGATTACTATTATTTTGGTATTACGTAACAGATCCATAAAGTTGGATCTTGTAAATTTTTAGGTAATTTAAATAAAGGTTAAACTACACAATCCTCTGAATTGACTATTTTATTTTAGTTCAGTAGTTTAAATGAGAGAATCTTGTGTAAGAAAACATACGGGACCTTCGAGTTTTTAGTTAATAATAAAAAATTTAATAATAAGTTATTAATTTTATTAATTAATAATTTCAAATCACTGTGTCATCACAAAAAATCGTAGCTTTAAAAGTCCGAATTTCCGAAAAATCAGATACAGATATTCATAAATAAATAACTATTCCAAAATGTAGATATTTTTGATTCTAAACGAAGAAACTATTCCAACCGTAGATAATTTATATTTGAATATATTTTTATATTCATCAATGCATAAATAACTTTCTTTAGATAGTTTTTAATTGGTTTACTGCGTTCACATAAGTAGTTTTTAGTTAATAACGATAACTCGACAAAATATTTAATAATAATTACTGTATTAATTATTGTGGCTTATGCTGAAATTTTACCGTATTTTAGTATGAAATTTTAAAATTTTTTGGGACCTTTTGTTAGGGTTTTTTTAGGGTTAGGTTTGGGTTAGAGGGTAGGTTTATTAATAAAAATATATATGATTTTTAATAGGTATTATAGATTTAAATAGAGACCCCATATTTCATCATAAGCCGCCACAATTATTAATAATTCAAGAGGTCCCATCACTATATGCGGTTATTTATATACGGTAGAATATATAGTAGATATCAGTTGTTGGTATTGGACAACGTCCAAATAAATTTAATTGGATTTTTACAGTCAGACCTCTCTAAATGCATCGTGACTATACTTATTGGCCAAACCCAAACCTCTAAAAAATAATTGTTAGTTATAAAAAAATTAAATCAAACAAATAATCTTAAAATTTTATAAAATATATTGTCTATAGCTATAAGAATATATATAATTTATTTAAATAAAGATTATTAATAAAATTTTTGAGCTATGAATTTGGCCAGACTCTTTGGGTTTGACTAACAAGTATAATAGTATATGTAAAAATTTAGTCAAACATGCATTTGTCATCGACGAATTGACAAAACCTATGATTCCGTCAGGCTTCATCAGTTTATGTTACTCAGTTAATTAGCACATGCTATTAAGTAGTAAATTTATTTAATAGATTTACTCAGCTAGCTTATTACACTCTACTGAACAAAGCAATGCACCAACATCCCCAACAAACCACATTCCCATTGTACTGAAACTTTGTTAACTTTGATGTCTTTTTTATTTTTTACTGCCTCCCTTTTTCTTACTGCTTTCCTTTTCTTACTACCTTCCTTTTTCTTACTGTCTTCCTCTTTCTCAATATCCAGTAAATCTGAAAGGATAGAAAAGGTTATGAAGGATTAAAATAATATGGGTTTATTATTAAGATACACATAATCAGTATTGGCAATTTAACCGGCCAAAAAGCAGCCAATTCGGCTAAATTCATATGTTTTTTTGGCTGATAAAATTGCCAACACTGCACATAATTTACTCGGTCAAATTTCTTAGCCAGTCTTTCAAAATAATCTTCGAAAAACCATAAATATATTCACATAGTGTCTAAAATAAACACGCAACCGTAACAATCAAGAAAAGTATTGCTCCCCAATGATAATGATATAATCAAATATCATTTAATTTCTTTTACATAACTGGTAAACTTTTCTTTTACGTAATTGATAATATTATTTAAAGGATTTCGCTTTGAACGTCGAGGTTAAGAGCAAGTTCATTTTGGATGCTGACATTAAGAGACGTAACAATACAGGAACATTCATGATTTTTCCAACTAAAATAAGTGGATTTTTGCTCAATGAATAGTTAATTCATCACTAGCTGACACTTGATGCAGGAAGGAATCATTTTTGTTTTTTTGCTTAGTCTGATCGTTCAGGAGTATAAAACAACACGGCGCCTTTGGCTCTTTTTCTGTCCATGTAGAGCCTTTGAGTACCAATTCGAAGCAGTTTCCCAAGGAAATTGCAGTCTATGAATTCTCTCTCAGTTGGGACATTACAAATAATGTTGGTATCATCTCTAACCTCACCTTGTAAATCGGCGCTATGTTGCTGCCTTCCCGTAATGAAATCGTTAGTTGAAAAATTGGATAGTTGACAACTTTCCAACTAACCGATTTAAGAAAATTTTTAAACAACCAATCGATTTATTATCAACTGGTTCGATTACAATAAATTGTTAGTTGTTAACTAGTGGCCAACTAACTAATTGTTATATAAATCAACTAAACAATTAATAAGAACAGTAATTATATAATGTAATCGCAATCATTGATTGGTAAACTAATGAAATTATGCCACAATAATTTCTATGGCCTTCATATGGGGAATGGCCTAGGAAAACCTGCCTTCGGCATTAGCTGTCGAAGGCAGGTTTTCCTAGACCATTCCCCATA